CCGCATCTCCACCCTCTTACACCCGCCCCACCTCCGCCCCATGCCCAACCCCCCAAAAAACCCCAAGGGAGAAGGACGCCCTCAACCTGCTGTTCCTGCTGATCCCTCTCCTCAACGTGCTGCTGCCCTTCGCGATCAAGTCCTTCCCCGTGATCTTCGCGGCGGACGTGGCGGCGCTGTTTGGGGTGTACACCTGGAAGGGCGTGTGGAACGAGGTGGGGGGAAGAGGGCAAGCTGGTGGGGGGTTTGTTGTTGTTGTGCGCCTAGTCGGGTGATTGTGGGCTTGTGTGTGTGCGGAGAGAGTGTGTGGATGTGTGATCGTGGTTGTGTTTGTGATGGTGATGGTGTGTGCAGTATGTGTGTGTGTATGTGAGTTTGTGCCGTGTGCGTCATGTGTGGTTGTGTGAGCGTGGGGACGCGGCAGGGAATATGTGTGGGCGTGGACATGATAAGCTGTCGGATTGGGGATTAGGGGAGTCGCCGCCTGCTTGGGGGTGGGGCGCTCTGCAGGCTTGAGGGCCGTGGCACCGCTACACACGGAGACAACGCAGGGCAGGGGAGCCTGCGTGGCGGCTCACACAAGCGCTGCTGCGCTGTATGAAGCCCGCGACAAGGCCGCAGCACGCCCGTCGCCGCGCACCCACGGGAGGATGCGGCGTCCGCCGTCGGTTGCTGCGGCCGCAGAGGCCGCACCTCTCTCACTCCTCTGCCCTCGGACACGGCTCTGCCGCGTTTGGCCCGGCTCCCGCGCCGCGCGTCCCGCCCGTGTCTCCCCTCCCGCCCCCCCAGGCTGCTCCGACGTCGAATCAAACCCTTTCATCTCCCCCCTCACATCGCCCAGGTGTATGGTCTGCCCATCGGCCCCTCGGACGACGGCGCGGCCGCGGCAGCGGGCGGGCAGGATCAGCAGTAGCTGGGCCCGCGACGTTGACCGGTCTTGACTGGTGTGCGCGCGCCCCCTGCCTTGCGGGCGGCGGCCACGACGCCTGAGCGTTTGTCGTGTGATCGCGGTGAGAGTGGCTGCCCGTCTGCCGGCGTTTTGCCCTTTTGTTGTGACTGCTTGGCTCCCAACGCCTTGCGAGTACCCCAACACCTTTGGGGCCGTTGCATAATCAAAATTGGAGGGTCGTCCTAGGTAGTTGGTGTAACAGGGTTCCAGCGTTTGCGAACTAGGGCCCGCGGGGAGTTGCTGAGGTCAAGTCAAGGTTGGTCAACAGCAGCGTGAAGACTACGGGTGCTGCGGCGCGAGGCGGCGCCCTTGCAGTGCTACCTGGCACCGTTGTGCTGCGGCGGAAGGGGGGGGGCCTTGCAACCGCCCTGCGCGGCGCGGCGTGCCTCTACGCTGGGCGTGCAATTGACTCTCGGTGGGTGTATCCCCGGAATTGCAGGTCGTTACAGGCAACAGGGGGTGGGGGGGAAGCCAATGCACGCATCATGGGGCCGCCAGCGGGTGGTGCCATCTGCTGAGATGCGGGCTGCCTCCTTCCGCAAGGAGGGGCCACACACGTGTGCGTGCCCATGCAAGCTGCAGTGACATATCTATTGACCCTGACACCATGCCATGTAAGAATGTGAAATAAAATCAGCTGAGGACAGACGGCCAGGTCGCACAAGATCTGATCTAATCAACTCAGATCATGCAGTCAGGCCCATCAACGCCATGAGCTCATCCACATCCTCTTCGTCCTCATCGTGGTCCCCTTGACCTCCCGCCTGCTGCTGCAAGCCAAGGTCACTGCTTGCATTGTGATAAGATGCGTGTGCCAACAGCGACGCGGGGACGGCTGGGTGCGGGGCGCCGCCGGCAGCTTGCCAGCCCGCCGCCTGCTGCGGCGGCGCCGGCGCGGCGAGCCAGGCGGCGCCGCCGCCCTGCAACTGCAACGGGGCTCCAAGCGAGGGCTGTACAACGGCAGCCGGGTCCGGCAGAGGCGCCACGGCAGGCGGTACCGGGTGCTGGGCAAACGAAGGCACTGCCAAGAGAGGCGCTGGCGCCGGCTGGGCGAAATGCAAGCCGCCAGCGCCGTGCTGCAACGCCGCCTCGCCGCCCGCGTACCCCGCCGGCTGTGTCGCCGGCTGGGCGCCCGACGCCCCGCCGCCGCCGCCCGCGGCCGCCGCGGCCGGCAACGGCCGCGCCAATGCCTCGGGCTGTGACGGCCCCTCGTGCTGTGCGGGGTCGCGCTCATGATGTTGATGATGATGATGACCGTGCGCCCCATCCTCGCCGCCGTCGCTCTCCTCCCCATCAGAAGATGACATCATGCCCGCCAACAAGGCGTTGTAACGCTCGAGGTCGCTCACGAACCTGCCGCCCCCCATTATGTCGCCGGCGCTCATCGCGGCGCCCGCGCCCGCGCCTCGGGCCCCGCCGGCTTCGAGCTCGCCGCCCGAGGACCCGGAGGGGGCGTCAGAGCTCGCCGCCTGCTGCTGCTGCTGCTGCTGCTGCTGTTGCTGCTGCTGCTGCTGCTCCTTGAGCTTCTCCCGCCGCTTCAGGTTCTTGCGCTGCGCTTTAGTCAGCGCCTGCTCTACCAGGTAGCCGACCGGAAGCTGCTGCTGCTGCTGCTCCTCTTCCTCCTCGTCCTCCTCCTCTTGACCCTCTCCGAACCACTCATCAGCGTCCCGCGGGCCGGGCGCCGACGCCGGCCTCCACGCGCTGGCGGCGGCCGGCGCCGCCCGCGGCACGGGCGGCGTGGGCACCCGCTGCGGCGGCGCGGGGCGCGGCGCGGGCGCGGGCGTGGGCTTGGGCTGCTGCTGCTTTGACTGCTGCTGCTTGGGCTGCGGCGCGCGCGGTGGCGCCGGCGGGGGGACCGCCGGGGCCTGGTGTGGGGTGGAGGCACAGAGGCGCGATGACCGCGCGTTTGAAAGAAGGGTGGTCTTGCGGGTGACGCATCCCCTGGAGCGGTGCAGCACACCCTTGCGGGCGGGCCGGGCCTGGCGAGAAGGCGTGGGGCCGGGCAGGCTTCCCGCCGACGACCGCCCAGCCCCAAGCCACGCACGGGCTGGGCTGGCATCCCTTGAAGCCAGCGCGCCCTCATGTAAGCCCCTGCAGGCGCCCTCGACACACACTCCCGCGCATGCACACACACACACATACATACACACACTCACACAACACACACGCGTGCGCGCGCACACACACACATGCACAAATACATAAGAACCCACCTTCTTCTTAGCTTTCTTCACCACGACCTCGTGCACGTTCATAATGACGCCCCGGCACGGCACGTTGGGCCCCAGGCCCGGCCCCTTCCCGCTGCCGTTGGGGCACCGGAAGCGGTGCGCGCCGTCGCGAGAAGGGTTGGCCTTCCGGAACTTCACGAGACATTTGGAATGGTAAATGAAGGCCTCGCAGCCCTTGCCGTGCCTGCAGGGACGACGCGCGCGTCGGGTGGGGCTGGGTTGAGCTGCGAACGGGGCCCTCGCATGGACACCAGCCGCAGACGTTGCGATTTGGGGCGGCGGCCCCTGCCTGATACCAGGCAGGGGCACGGCTCGCGTGGGGGCGCGCTGGTCGCGCGGCTGGGGCCCGGCGGCGCTCGGCAGCCCCACCAGGAGCATGAGACCGTCTCTGCGGCGTCTGTGGCGCCGTCTACGGCTGATGCGCACAGGTCGCAGGTCCCAGACGTGACCTCGTCTTCCATCAAACGCGGCCGCAAGCCGGCGGCGAGGGAGGCAGAGGGACGCCTGGGGGCGGCCGGGGCCTCGGCTGCTGCAGGGGGCAGCGATGCGCAGGAACGAGGCGGCGCGGTGATGACGTGTTGGGGGCGCGCCAATGTCAAGCGAGCAGGCAGCAAGTGCAACAGGCGATGTTATCAATAGGAAGACTGCAGCACGTTTATAGCACTCCGCAAGCCATACGGCAACACAAGTTCAACAGCACTCGCTGTCGGTGCTTCGTGTGTGGAGACCACACACGCCGCACCTCACGCGCTCGTCCACACGCAAAGAGCCCTATCCTCAATGTAATCCTTGCCTTGACGCGCGACCAACGACCCCGGAAACCCGCTGACGCGTTCCGTGATCTCTAGATCTGCAGTCTTCTCTAAATTGTGTTGTGGTTTTTGAAATCAAATAACAATGAGCGTATTTGCATCACTGTAATGCGCTTTCACAATTCAATCTTGTCACGCAGTTTTTGCACCTAGGGAAACGGATCAGTGAGAAGCATGGGACGCAGCAGGAGCCGAGGGAGAAGCAGGAGCAGAAGCAGAAGCCGAAGCCGCGGCCGCCGCGGCGACGACAGGTACCAGCAAAAGCATGCCCATGGCGTGGTCGGCGCACTTGACCACCCCGCAGCGGACACCACCAGCTGCCGTGTCGAACGCCACGGATTTCTGCTTTCTTATCTTACAACCGCGCTGGGCGCCTTCATTTCAGGTGGCGTCCGCCCAGGAGCGACGATTGGGAGCGCGGCAGCGGCGGGGGCGGCCGCAGGGACCGCGCACGCTGGGGTGACGCTGCGGGCGGCAGCGGCCGCAGCGAGCGCCCCTCTAGGGACGGGAGCCCCGGCCGCCGATCAGACCGCCGCGACAGCCGCAGGCGCAGCCACAGCAGGAGCCGGAGCACAGACGTGCGGCGCCGGCACAGCAGCGGCGCCGGGCGCCGCGCGGCGCGCGGCAGCCGCAGCAGGAGCGCGAGCAGAGGCCGCCACCGCCGCTCGCAGCGCAGTGCAAGCCGGAGCCGGAGCCGGAGCCGCAGCGGCGGGCGCGACCGCGGACGGCGGCGGCGTCGCAGCAGCAGCCGCGGCGACGACTGCGGCCGGCAGCGGCAGCGGCGGCGCTCCGGCTCCCGGGGCGGGGCGCGCTCGCGGTCCGGCGGCTCACGTCGCGATGGCGGCTCGAGGGAGCGTTCGAGATCCAGATCGCGATCCAGGTCCAGATCGTCTTCTCGCGGCAGGGGGGGCACTGATCGGCAGCAGGGCCCGCCGCCCATCTCGGAGGAGGAGCTGAGGCGGTGAGGGCTGCTGGTGGCGTTTTGCGAAGGGCACCTTCACAGACTGCGGCCTTGCGGGGCCAATCGCTGCCCGCGTGATTCGTTGCTGTCACTTTAGGGCTGGGCATGCGTCCATGTACATGGCTGCTCTCACTAAAAGAGAACTGGCCAGGGTCCATCTGCAGGCCCTTGGCACACTGGTTGCAACTCCCAAGCCCCCCGCCTTTCGGCTGTCGATGCCCTCTGTTTGAAAACCGCAGGCAGCAGGCTGATCTGGAGGAGCAGCTGATCAGGGAGGAGGTTGAGCGGCAGGTGTGCCGCCCAGATCACCGGGGGGAACGGCTGGAGGCTGCATGGCGCGTCATGGGGGCCGCATGGCACGTAATGGAGGCTGCATGGCACGTCATGGGGGCCGCATGCAAAGAGAGGGCCCTCAGCAAGTCGGGGCGCTGCCCAGGCGACGACCGCGGCGGCGGCTGAGGAGCAGCCTCAAGCTCCCCAGGGCGCGGAGCTCCGTGCGCGCCGTTCTCCGGCCGCGCGTCAGGCCGGGCATCGCCGGCTATTGGGCCGCGGGGGGCGCCCGTGCGGGGCGCTGGTCCGACCCCCCGTGCGCGCGCCGTCCCGCAGCACGAGCAGCGTGCCTCAAACCTCTGCCCCATCCCGCGCTTTCGCGCTGCGCTCGGACGCCATTGGCCGCGGCCGCAGGTGGCGGCCGCGGTGGAGCAGCGCGTGAGGGACGTCCTCTCAAGCGAGCACGTGCAGGCAACCCTGGCCAAGCGGCTGCAGGTGCCCGGCCGGGCGCGGGCGCTGTCAGCAATACCCACACGCAGTTCCCTTTGCCTCCCAGTTCTTATCTAGTCCCTTTTGCTTTCACATTCAAAACGATTGTCGCAAATATCTTGTTTCATATCGTCCTCCCGTGGCCTGATGCGTGCAGACGCGTCCTGGGATCCGCTCAGACGCGTCTCGACCTCATCCCGGCCGGCCGCGGCTGCGAGCGCGTCGGCCCTGCATCCGCCCGGCGCGCACCGCAGCATCCCAGCCAAATGCCACTCTGCCGAGGCTCCTCGCGCACACGAAAGCAACGACACCGCGCGCCGCCGCCGCGCCTCGCCGCAACTTGAAAATGCAGGAGGAGCGCGCCGCACTGGAGGCGCAGGTCGAGGCCGAGCTGGCGCAGGAGGCCGCCGAGCGCGAGGCGGCGCGGGCGGCCAAGGAGCGGGAGCTGCGGGCAAAGGAGGAAGAGCTGCGGGTCATGGAGGAGAGGCGCAGGCAGGAGGTGAGGGAGGGGCGGTGCATTGGGTTGGGTAGGGTTGGGTTGGAGTGAGGGGGCGTGGGGAGGAG